CCTAACTTTAGTTTCCAGAATACCCATAATATCAGGTTTGTGTTTGTCTATCATATTCCTGACCTCCCACTGCTTATTAAGGCTGTTCAGCCCCCTCACATTCCAGCTAATCATTGAAGGAAGGGGTAGTGGCCATAAGGGGATTCTCTTATGGGATCCCCTTGATTCCTCAGATCATCTATTGTAAGTCTCCTAGCTGTCTTTTTCCCAGTTACAACTTGAAATCCTTCTTCATCCTCTGCGGGTTTTCCTTCAAAAGGCATTTCAGTGCCCTTTTCGTAGTGTACTTGCACAGGGGTATTCATTTCCTTCTTTTCTCCTTCCTTTTCCTTTGGGCGCCATACTTTCCTTGTGATATTCCTTTCCTGTTTCCCCTCTTTCTTCCTACATTGTGAGCGTAGGTGACCCAGTTTCCCACACTTAGAGCAGATTGAGGGCCTCCATTCATAAACCACCTCCTGGGTTACCACTCTATCATCCTTATCAACATAGTAAATTATGTCAGGGAACTCTTGTTGAACTTGCACCTCAATTTGTATCCTTGCATAACTCCATTTTGCTCTTGTTGCAGTAGCTCTGTCCCTTTTGATAGGTTTACCCAATATACTTCCCAGTTTTCCCAGGCCTGATAAACTCCAATACCTCATATCAAGGTTAGGAAATTGGACCCAGATTGGGACATCACTCAGTTCCTGGATATTCAGTTGTTTCCCAGGGTTTCATCTCTGTACTAACATCGGTTTATTGTCAAAATAGTAGTATTTCCTTTTCACAATTTCATCTCTATCTTCAGGTTTCTGAAACATTACAATATATTGGCCCTCTTTATGGAAACTCACATCATCCACTGTATAATCCTTCCAAATCCTGGCGATAAATCCTTTTACGATTTCCAGAGGTGGATTCGCTCCTAGGATATAGCAGATAACCGCATTGTCCCAGAGTCCTTTTTCCTCAATCACATCCTCGTCAGTAAACCTAGCAATCCTTTTTCCATTTACTTCTTCAAATTGATAGAAACTGAGATTTGTTTGTACCTCCGTGGATGTAAGAATTTCCGCATAGGTAGGTTTAGCTTGTTGCTCAATTCTGATTTCATCTCCTGGTTCTTCAGGCAATCCAGATTCAGTAAAATCGGGCACTTT